ACGTCCCTCCCACCCGCAACCCTCCCCTTTCCCACTCCCTCTTTGAACAAATGCCTTCCTTATTCATTATACTCCTAACTCTATTAAGAAAAAGTAAAGTTGAATTTTTATTCCTCCAAACCCACCTCTCTGGATAAGCTCCCCAATTGTCCCAATCTTTGCCCCTCCCCCCACCACAGCGAGCTTGTTTCTCCTGTTTTGGCCCCTTTTCTCACAATACTTCATCTGTTTATCCCACCTTCTTCCTTGAGTCAATTTAAGAAACTCGGGTTACTGCATTTGGATGTAGTTGTCCATCATATTCTGTTAGGTTTTTATGAAATGCTTACTGCTTGATGATCCATGAATTACTCATTGAGACTAAGACAGATATAAATGTATGGATATGACTTCTTGAAACAGTTACATTTAAAGCTCCATAAACCATTTCTTCAAAAGTGATTTGTAGGAACTGGCATTGTGGTACAGAGGGTGAAGATGCCACCTATCATGTAGGTATCCCATATGAGCAGCACTTTAGGTCCCAGCTTCTCTGTATCCACTCCAGCCCCTTGTTGATGAGCCTGGGGAAGGAGCAGAAGATGGTCCAAGTACTGTAGCCCCTGCCACCCACATAAGAGACCCAGATAGAATTCCATGTTCCTGGCTTCCTCCTGGCCCAGCCCTGTTCATTCTAGCCATTTAGGGAGTGAACACATGGATGGAAGATATCATCTCTCTCTCTCTCTCTCTCTCTCTAACTCTGACTTTCAATAAATCAATAAATTTTTACTGTGGTTTATAAACCACTCATAGGTCCACCTAATTAGTTCCTGGAATATAATCATCCATTTGTTAGTCATCAGATGGATATTTACATATGACCCATTTTCTGAAGATATTTACATATGACTCAATAATAAAAAATTATTGTAGACCAACTCTGTAGCAAGCACTTTTTTGCAAATGATAAATGACTGAGATACAGCCCTAATGTCAAAGAACTCAGCTGAATGGAAGTCAGTTATGTAATTAAAGAATTATAGCACAGCCTTACTGAATAAAGAATGGTAGCATATGCTAGGTATAGAAAAAGTCAAGAAAGAAGTAGTCCTGGGTTTGGGGGTTTATGAGGTTCCCTGAAAATTCCATCTGACAAAAATATGCTCATTTCCCCTCAAACCTGCCATAGTGCAGTGCACTATCAACAAGAGTTATTCATTTGGATAATGAACTATCTCCAAAAAGCTTACATACAATTTGTTTTTTTTTTAAAGATTTTATTTATTTATTTATTTATTTGAGAGGTAGAACTACAGACAGTGAGAGGCAGAGACAGAGAGAAAGGTCTTCCTTCCATGGGTTCACTCCCCAGATGGCCAAAATGGCTGGAGCTGCGCTGATCCGAAGCCAGAAGCCAGGTGCTTCCTCCATTCTCCCATGCAAGTGTAGGGGCCCAAGCACCTGGGCCATCCTCTACTGCTTTCCCAGGCCATAGCAGAGAGCTGGATTGGAAGAGGAGCAGCCGGGACTAGAACTGGCACCCATATGGGATGCTAGTGCTGCAGGTGGAGGATTAACTTACTGAGCCAAGATGCCGGCCCTAAGCTTACAAACAATTTGGTGTTACCTGGAAAAGACGGATGGCTTAACGCCTATTAGTACATTAGCATATATTAATGTGTTCTATTACACAACATATGCCTTTTGGTGAAATGATAATTTAAAGTCTAGTAATGGAGCACAGCTTATCAAGGACTAGCTCAAATGGGACATAAATTCAGAAGGATGAGAAAGTGTACCCAAATCATGAAGGCATGAGCTAAGAGTGACAAGGGCTTATCCTGACAGCCTCCTTAAAAACAGGGTTTACTACAATTTCTCCTAAAATTAGATCACGAATTAAGCAACAGCTATTTAATTAGATCACTAAATAATTAATCAACAGACACATTTCTCTCACTTTATAATTTTGTAGTATAGTCTTTGGAGTAAAATCAAGACCACCTTTCTCTTTTCTAAGACTGCTTAATATTTCAGCACATCCTGCTGCCTGCAAGACATAAGGCAAATGCAGAAAAGAGAAAACCTGAACACGTGGGTTTCTAATGCTAATGCGCCAGGAACTGGCCTTCTTCCATAACTGACAGCTGATTTTCCTCCTGCCTTTACATCCAAGATGGCCTCAGATTGCTGTTACTATGTTTATCTCTGTTCTCTTTCCACAGGTAATTAATTTCTCCTCTCCTCACAAGACAGCTGGTGCGAGCTACCTCACCTAATCTTTAATCAACTTCAGTTTTCTTTCCATACTTGCTCTATGCAGAAGAGGGGAAAAAAATGCAAGTTTCTAAGAAAGTTTAAAAGACTAAAGTCCATGAAAGGCCAAATAATGACTCAGCATCATTAACTAACAGCAAAATTGGAGGCAATAGTGGGGCTACATACTTCTCTCGAATTCTCCTAATCTTCACTACACAAAGATGAAACAAAGAATGAGTTTTCCCTTTCACACCATGCTCAGATAGTATATACTTTGAATGGCAACTACAATTCAGCTATTGCTAACATGTATGATATTGCTTCAAATTGACAAAGAAAACATACACAGGTTCTTGAAAGAGATGTTTATTGCTAATGAAAAATCACACAATTATATACAGGAGAGAAGAAAGATGTTTCAATATGCATAAAGACTTTAAAATTTTTATTTCTAATTAGCTAGTATTAATACTAGAAAACTTGAAGAAAAAGTACAGTAACATAAATTTATTTGATCCCCACCTTGGATAAAATTTCATTATAAACAATATTAAAAATGGAAGTCTTTCATTATACATGCTCCACAATGAACAAATATTATGGTGTATACACTATGGCTCAAGAATCGTCACATAATTCTGATATATAAATAATCATGTCTGTATTCTGTGATATAACCATTTACCCCTATATATTCTCATAATCTCTAAAAATAAAACAAATAAATGAGAAAATTTTTAAAAGGATGAACAATCATTTAATCTAGACTGTAGCAATAACTGCAATTCAGGGGAGTGGTTTAACCTGTCTCCTATTAACTCACAGAAGTGATGTAATGTTTTACAAAATATGTGAGTCAAGGAAATTTCCAGGCAAATTCTTTATATCATCATTACGTTATGATACCCTCCCATCTCCCTACCTCCAGCCGGGGCCTTTGTGGAAAACACTGGAATCAACTCCAGGATTGTGACCTTCTCATCATTTTTCGGTGTTAATTCACTCTTGGGAAAAGAAAGAGCTAGAATCTTGACTCATTGCAGCTGAACTGTAAATAAGGAAGCACAGCTCCACCCATTTCTACTGGGAATTGTTAGAAACATTAAAAAAATTGACCCATATTTTTCTTGGCTAAAACATCTCAATTTAATAAAGATAAGTTATTCTCCTAAATCAGCTGTTTCCTTATTAAATAAATATGCTGTCTTCTCTTCCCATTGCAAAATGGAAATTCAATTCAAGGACACACAGATGTCAAAATACCCATTGTTGAAAACATGGACATGACCCAAAAATACCAGCTGCCTAAAAATCATGAAATGGAAGGCAAACTTATAAAACAAGCTTGCAAATCTTTAACTAGTTCAGGCATTATTTTTAAGTCAAAAAATTTTAGAGTCTACAAAGAATATTTGTGCATTTTCCATCATTTTGTCAGGAGCAATACCAAGGTGGTTCAACTACATTACAATTCACTGTATGGCAAAGAAAAAAAAGGGGGGGGGTGCTTAGAGATTTAATCTAGGTGACCAGATACTGCAGAATTTAAAATAGAGGCAAGAATTAGAATAAAATCAGAAAAAATTTTCACTTCGTTTATTATGTAAAATAAATGGGACTTTAGGCCACATAAGTGTGAAAAAAATACCCTAAAATACTGCAGTAGTGGAAACAGAACCCTGTTTAGCAAATAAATTCCCCAGAACACATTAAAAAATAATCTTCACAGTACCTTATAAGTAAAAAAAAAAAAGTTATTTACCACACACTTTAAATACTAACTATGCCTTAACTTTTTCAAATGAAGTGATAGCCTCATTGAATATTATATTGCTAGGTTAGTGAGACTTTTCTAATCTTCAGAACATTTCATTTCTTATGCAGCCTAAATTAATTTAGTACTTTCCAATGAATACATATCATTAAATGACCTTATGGAAAGCTCCTTTTTTTGTTTTTGGATTTCTTTTTTTTTTTCTAATTTTATTTAAGTTGTACACACTTCATGTATTTCATATATACAGATTTAGGAACATAGTGATACTTTCCTCCCTTCCATCCATGCTCCAACCCTTTTTCCTCCTCCCTGGGAAATCTCTTTTTAAAAGTTCTGTAGAGATAGTTTCCCTATCTTACTGATAGCTCCACTGGCCCTTTATTTGCACATAAGTGGATCTTAACTGCATTCTTCAAGGAGACTCTAATACTGAACTGTGGCCACCTGTTCTTTCCCTGATAGCTTAGGAGTTCCCACTCTTAACATTTCATTTGTATGAAGCAGATATTCATGTAGAGCTAAGTAATTTGCTCTTGCATGAAAAGGTCATGCAAAAGGAAATCAGAGATGGTGACATGTGGCAGAATTTCCAAATTCCTACTTCACTGCTTGGCTCATGGAGAACAATCCTATGCCCCAGCTCATGTGTCTCCTAAGTGTCCCAAATGGAGATCTTCTCTAGACAACCTTTATGTACCTCTAGCCTACATTCAGAAGGTTGCATTCTAGAGTTAATTTGAGACGAAAGGCATTTTTGTCCAACACAAATGAGTTTAGGAAAAAAGTTTAAAATCTTAAACAGAAATCTTTGAAAGTTTTACAAATAAAAGCATGCATTTAGTAGTGACAAACATCATTGACATTTTTCATGCTCTAATGATAATTATCATTACTTTTCCAATGGGCCAGTAGAAAATGTTCCTACAGGGGCTTGACTATGCTAAACTTATAGAGAATTCATTATGTGTGTAGGGTATAAAAGGGAATACTGAGATATGAAGCTACCTATACACACACACACACCAAAAAATTTTATTCACATGTAGCTTGATGAATGATGCCTAGATGTCTTCAAGGTTTTCCCTATCTTTAATGTGGCCTGTACCAAGCCCAGACATTTAAATCCTAGGGTCATCATAATGAGTGAAATTGGCAGTCATTAACTTGAGGAAAAAAGTAGTGAACAAAGTATTTTTTTCTTATGGCTAACCTCTAGCTATCCCTGGTTAGATATATCTGGTCGGAAACAAGTCAAAATGTTCAAGATTGCTTTTAGAAACCACAAATACATCTGACATAAATACTTGTGTTAAAAATAACATATTCCATATGCAATTTAATATTAATAGTGATGATTATTTGACTTTTTCTTGGCTCCCTCGAAAGCTACCTACTAAGAAAAAATTAGAAACAAAGAGGAAAACTTTCACTTTCAGTCAAAATGACAGTCACCTCTGTTGCAGTAATCACACCCTCAACTCTTCTCTTCCCAGGTGATCAATACCTGGGGTTAGCCCACAGTGGGTGTAACTCTCACCTGTGCTGCCACATAAACCACACAAAGGATCCATGCAGTCCTCAGTGTGAGCATGGAACCCTCAGCAATGGCCCATCCCAAATAGTCAGGGAGTTCTGATCTGCTGACACCAGGCACACTGATTGCCTACAGACCCAGCTACATCCCACACTCTATCATGCAACCACAGGATTCCCACAGTCACAGGATGCAGAAGATCTGCTCTGTCCTGCTAGCCTGCTCCACCCACAGAGACAGCAGAGATGTTTCCAGAGCCCACTGCCTATGGGTGTTCTGCCTTGGCAGTTTGAGCCCTGGAGCCTGTGATTTGGTGAGATGCTGGGGCACCTCACTGTCCTACTTGGATGCCCGGTCCCCTGTCAATCCTCCCAGCCAGAATCAAAGTCAAGGGGGAATGTGGATTTTTCCCTTTGGTAAAAAACCCCTAATCATTCCCATGTACAAGAGCTACTACAGCCTCTACTTGTGTCAAAATGTCACCTTCTCCCTGCCAGTTGCCAGTTGCCCTTGTTGGGGAGTGGGAAGAAAGAAATATGCTTTTCTTTCGCTGGATTAGGTGGGTACCCTGCCCCTGATAGGGCTCCAGGCCAGACTCAAAGATAGCATGGTCCATAAGGCTCTCCCTCAGGCAGTATCACCAATGGCATAGTCTACCACAGTATGCTCTCACCTCGCTCTCCAAAGCTGGCATGTCCTCTGGTTCCCAGCTGCAAGATCATGTGTGGTATCTGCACTCGCTGCTGCACGTTGTCACCTTCCACGCTGCTCCACAGAGTCCCTCTTCCCTCTGTAGAATTTCCACTCAGCCTTCTCTCCAACTCTCCCCTGGGAATGTACTTCCTTGGCTTTTTTTCTGCTATTTTCCCACCTAAAGCAGTACATCTTTTTCTCTATTCAGCCATCGTGGAATCCTCAGTCTTTTTCTACTCATGCAGTTTTGAATTTCTTTAAACCAGATTTTGGATTTATATAAATAAAAATGGTCATGCCTGTTACTACATTCTGAAAATTTAAGCTGTAAAAAATTGAGTGCCCCACACTTAAATTTTAATAATTAAGGGAAAAAAACTCTTCTTCCAACAGGGTTTAAAATCCAGATTAATCATATGACATAGGTAGCAAGTGATCTCCATCTTCTCCAGGCTTCTAATCATAGGAGTTGTGGTTAAAGCTCTTCCCTGCCAGGAAAGAGAGAGTAACACATTGAAAACACAGAATATAATGAGATGCATTTTTGTTGTAAAACATTGCCAAGCTATTTTCCTAAAATCACCAATACTTTCTTTTTTCACTTTCTGTGGAGGAAAGCTGTCTTTTTGCTATTCTAAATGTTTTAAAAATCCACTCTGCAAAGACCATATGCAGTGTTGCTATTATTGAATCCTAAGCCAAATTCATTAACTTTTTTTGACTACCTGGTAGATGCAAACCTTGCAACTAAGTGAAGTTGAAAACACTGCACAGATTATGTGCCTAGCATTCTTTCAGTGTTGTCTATGAATGTCCTATTTAAGGTTGTAGAGCCTGGGTGGACTTTCTTTTGTTTCAAAGTATCTTCTTGTTCAAATCTTATTGGATTCATGTACTTTTGGGCATATTTTAATGCCAGAGAGTTCACTGGAAGAAATTGAAGCAGGTAGTCAATCTGCCTGTTCCTAATTAGGTTCTCCTGGGTCCTTTCTTCAAATGTCTTAACTGGGTGAGATACATTTTTAATTCAGGCAAGCAGCTCCAGGGGGCTTCTACAGAGTCTTGGAAAGACAAAAACATCCTCCATGTTCTTTCTATTAGACAGTACTAAGATGGAACCATGGGTCATCTGCTGGCTGATGAAGGGATGAGTCAGAGTCCTGGCATCATTGCTAAGACAACACTCAACAAGGTTGGCAGCACTGCCTGGGAGCCAACTCAGATATTCAGAGATTTTTTACAGACATCTCTGCCACACAGAAGGGATTAAATGGCATCCTTCTCAATTAAATGGCAATTTATCCCTCTGTCACAAAGATGCCATGAGTGAAGGAGTTGCTTATAGAAAAAGGATTTGGAGCAATGAAATAGGCTACTCAGGGCCATGGATATGTTATCCTGAACCTTTGTCAATTCCTCTTACAAGCTTATATGAATTTTTCTGATTTTTCTTGCTTAAATGCCAGGTGAAGGCCTGCGCCATGGCTCATTTGGCTATCCTCCACCTGCGGCACCAGCACCCCAGCTTCTAGTCCCAGCTGGGGCACCGGGTACTAGTCCCAGTTGCTCCTCTTCCAGTCCAGCTCTCTGCTGAGGCCCAGGAGGGCAGCGGAGGATGGCCCAAGTGCTTTGGCCTTGCACCCGCATGGGAGACCAGGAGGAAGCGCCTGGCTCCTGGCTTTGGATCGGTGCAGCACCAGCCGTGGTGGCCCTTAGGGGAGTAAACCAACGGAAGGAAGACCTTTCTCTCTTTCTCTCTCTCACTGTCTATAACTCTCTCTCACTGTCTAACTCTGCCTGGCAAAAAAAAAAAAAAATGCTAAGTGAAGATAGATGCCCAGCTGGCACTCCTACATGAGTAAGCTTTTGTGTGAGGGTAGTCACAGGAGCACCTATCAAACACCAAACTGTAATCCCACCCATTATACTCAACTAATATCTACAATGCTTCCTTTACAAGATAGTTTAGTTTCACATCCTAAGTCTGGTTGCAGATCCCGGGGAACAAAGAAAAAAGTTGCAGACACTTGCCCAAAATACATGCTGAGAAAAGCAACTGGAAAGAGCCAGAATGAAATCACAATAGACTTGATAGAGGCGAGTGATACACTTCAATAAGATATGTGATTCAAAGCATATGAAAATGTCTACAGAGTTAGAAATAAAAGGGTATGTTTAAATATGTGAGGGTTTATGGCTCCTCAAATGTTTTTTCAAAGAAATCATCTACAAAAAATATTTTAAAGCATTTGGTCACTTGTGAGATCTATGATAACAAGAAAGGAAATGTGACATACTCCAGGACCTCTAGGCCAAAACAGATAGTGCTTCAGTTTTAAATCTCTGCTACTCACTATCATGATCATCTTAAATAAGTCTCTTCATCTCCCCCAAAGCTTCCTTTCCTCAAATAAGAAACACTCAGCTTAAAATAGCAATTATGAGGAATAAATGAAATAATTGAAATGGACATGCATGAACTTTGAAGGACTCAATAGATGTTGGTTATTGCCAAGATCCCTGTCATATGGGCAGAAATTACGTGCTCATGCGAGTGGTGCTACCCTAAAGCAAACTATAAAGACCTTGGGTTGGGGGACTATTTCCAATACTTACATTTGATGCTCTCTTACAAAAGCTGCAAACTCAGGATCATTGGCATACAGTTCCAAAACTCTCATTCTCTCTTGAATTTCCTTTAAAAAGAAAAGGTCACACTTGCATTAAAAAAAAAACTCAACAATCTTTTAAAAAGAGTTCTGAAGTGGGTGTTTGGCGCAGCATTAAAACCACTTGGGATGCCTACATCCCATATCAGAGTGCCTGGGTTACATTCCTGCCTCCACTTATTTTTTAAGATTTATTTATTTATTCAAAAGTCAGAGTTGCAGAGAGAGAATGAAAAACATAGACAGATCTTTCATCCACCGGTTCACTCCCCCAGATGACTGCAGTAACTGGCATCACTGGGGTTGAGTCAGTCCAAAGCTGGGTACCATGAGTTTCATCCAGGTTTCCCACATGGGTATCAGGGGCCCAAACACTTGGGCCATCTTCTGTTGCTTTTCCCAGGCAATTAGCAGTGAGTTGGATCAGAAATGGAGCAGCCAGGTCATGAACCAGTGCCCTTAAGGGAGGCTGGCATCTCAGGCAGTGGCTTTACCTGCTACACAACAATGCTGGCCTCTCTGCCTCCACTTATGATCAAGCTTCTGCTAATGTATACCATAGGAGGCAACAGATGATGGCTCAAGTACTTGAGCCCCTGCCACCCACATGGGATACCTAGATGGAATCCCTGGATCCTGACTTCAGCCTGGCCTAGCCTTGGCTGTCAAAAGAGTGAACCAGCTGAACCAGCTCACTCGCTCACTCGCTTGCTCGCTCTCTCTCTCTCTCAAATAAAGTGAAAATAATATTTTAAAAAATTTTTAGAGTTCTAATTATTCTACTTTCAATATAACAGATACTGCTGTGACTAATGGAGACATAGATTTCTAAAGAAAGGAGAGAGAGTGGAAAGACTATTTGCTAATAATGGAAAAAGGAGCCACTGGTGGGGAGTAAAGAACATCTCAGAATTGAATAGCATCTGCATAAACATTGCCTGGGAGATATCATGGGGTTAAGTGAATCATAAACATGCTTCGTGTCTCTTGAAGTCCAGGTACATGCATACCTACACACACACACACACACACACACACACACACACACACACACCAGCAGTAGCAGTAGCTACAGTGTAGCACCAGAAGTGCAAAGTTTCAGCCCACTGTTTTCATACATCTGTCTGATTTCTTCTCTGCTCAGACCACCAAGAACTTCTCCACTAGCAGAGCTGTAGAAGGGATGCTGAGGACAGGGTCCCTCATAATGTTCACATTCAGCCATGTGGCCTTCATACACCGGGTTGTATTTCACAGCATTCTCAATGGATGAGAGGCTATCAGGCTGCCTAGTAGAGCCACAGAAAGAAAGATATGATTGATCTTGGTTCCTCTTTGGATGCTTAACTAGTTGGACAAGTAGTTACTTACAAGATTTCCATTGGAGAAGAAAAAGAGGTGAACTGGAAATAAGTGGGAGGAGCCAACTGAGAAAAGTCTATCTCAAAATTACTTATTGGGTGTTATTTTTATCTCATCAACTACATACCAAGTGTCCTATTTTATTGTTTAACTGTGTCCATCTTATTTTCCCACAGTACCTGGCACTTAATAAACACTGGTTGGAAACTATGTCTGCCAGTAGACAGTCTTTCATTAGACAAATACAGCTTCATTTTTTCCAGAGTTATACACACAGAGAAGTGGATAGAAATATAAACATTTGTATTCAGCTCACATCTACAAATATTTACTGAGCATTGATTATGTTCTTAGGACTGTTCCAGATGTTAGAGATGCAAAGAGTTTGTCAAAATCTCTGCCTTAAATAAAAAGGCAGTTTAATGAAAAGTCAGACTCAATTTAAAAAGCAAAACACAATGAGGGATATATATCCTGGATGTCCTAGGAACTCCCTATAGAGGTTCCTCCTTAGCCAAGTCAGAGGGTGAGGGAAGGTAATTAAATCTGAGATAGTAACTCTTAAGACTAGAAGAACAGAAGTCAAATACAACGAGGGATTATGATGAAAATAGCAATTTGAAGGATCTTGGGATCCCTAATCTAGCAAGCGGACCAGTTTTTCTTTCCCCCACTAATGTTATACTTAACTAAACAGAGAAGGAGGTGTCACTTCTTGTCAGATTGTTATCTAGATTTATAATCAGGTTAACTAATACTGGTATGATCCAAAGAGAACGAACTGTAACCGATCTGGTACTCACACAAAGGAACCTCACCTTTTTCCATTTCATTAGCCTGTCTCCAAACCCTCCCCGATACATGCATTCTGTCCACACTCAAGGATGGCTCCCTCCACTGTGCACTCGGGCTCATACATACTCCTTTTCTTTTCTCATGTTCATTCAGCCAGCTAGAAAGCATCCCATCATACTCCCAGCAAACATCTACTCTTCTGTCCAGCTAAGTATCTTTTTTTTTTTTTTTTGACAGGCAGAGTGGACAGTGAGAGAGAGACAGAGAGAAAGGTCTTCCTTTGCCGTTGGTTCACCCTCCAATGGCCGCCACGACCGGCGCGCTGCGGCCGGCACACCGTGCTGATCCGATGGCAGGAGCCAGGTGCTTCTCTTGCTCTCCCATGGGGTGCAGGGCCCAAGCCCTTGGGCCATCCTCCACTGCACTCCCTGGCCACAGCAGAGAGCTGGCCTGGAAGAGGGGCAACCGGGACAGAATCTGGCGCCCCAGCTGGGACTAGAACCTGGTGTGCCAGCGCCGCTAGGCAGAGGATTAGCCTAGTGAGCCGCGGCGCTGGCCCCAGCTAAGTATCACAACCACATTAAAATTTCCAAGACTCCCTCCCCCAGAGAAAACTAATTCAACTCTTATCTGGATTCCTTAGCATCTTATTCATGGTGCTGCCTACGTGTCTTTCCAATTTGACACCTCTATAGGAAAAGGGACCACGCTTCTTGTCTAATATCTGGCATATACTACGTACTAAGTGAATGAATCAACAGAACACTGTATTCCATCAGAAAACCCTTTTCCCTTTTTCTTCCTTACCTAAAAGGCCTCTCTGTTTCTCCCCTGATATTCTGATCTTGAAAAGTCTTGACAAGGAAGAAGATGATAACAGAAGAGATCAGGAGAAGCCCAACTACGGAGGCAATGGTGATGCCTATGACCAAGGGCTCAGACACAAACTCCTCACAGTGCTCACCTCGGTACCACCAGTTCTGACCAACCCGGCACCTGTAACAAACAGACAACAAATTCAAGATCAGAATCATTCTGATCAAAGTACCAATTTATAGTGGGATTGGGAAAGGTAGAGAACTAAAAACTGACCATGCGTCACTTCCTCAAAGAGTTGAACACACAAGGTAAATGATAAAACTGTACATAATGTCCAGCCCAGACCTGGCTGGCCCTCATGACTGCAAACAACTGATTTAATAGGAACAAAGAAATTATCCTGGTTAGTCTCCTTGTTCATGGATAACAATACAGAAGCCCTGGAAAGAAGGTGACTGGCATTAGAATACACAGTCAGCAACAAAGCAGGATCTAAAACCCAGGCCTCCAGACTCCTCAGGTTCTTGTCACACCAGAGATCCCAAACACTAAGACCACAGACTTGTGTGCAAATGTCTTCAACTCCCAGAGCAGCAAGAAAATCATTTTGTCTTCTCAAAAAATACTAATTTCTCAGGCACTGAAAGATTGCTTTTCCTCTTCATTTTCTAGCTAAGATTTATATTTATTCATAAAGAAGAGTCTGAATCATTTCCACATATTTCCTCTGTTTTTGAATCTATGCCAGCTTTTCCAACTTGAAACTTGCAAGTTGTCTTCCTGTTTATGCTTCTCCCTCTTATTTTCAGCATTTTTCTTAAAACCATGAAATTTTTGTTGTGTGCAGTTGGGAGCTTGATTTTGCTGGTTTTTTTGTTTAAGGAGAATGAAGAGGGAAGGATAGTCAGATCAACTTTCTCATTGATTTGGACGTAAACATTGATTCAGATGCACAGAAAAGAAAAGACATTTGTCACCAATTCAGCTGCTTTATTGTCTCTATTTTTGAATATTCAGTAGAATTAAGAAGAGCCCAAAGCCATTAGTGATATAATCGAAGTGGAATAATAAAATTCCTTTTGTTTTTACTTTCGGATATAGTGTAAAGTGTTGATCTTATGCCTAAACCTTATCTAAATACTGGTTGTCTTATCAACACCACTAAAAACCGTAACAAAAAGATCTCCAATTCCTCCAAAGACCCACAGTAAGACATACTTAGACAATTTTGTTTTTACAGTCATCCATCATCATAAAATAACCAACTGAACTATATAATTCAGGCCTATTAAATGACCCAGTCTGCACATGAGAATTAGATTATTCATCCATTATTTAGATATAATCTCTATAATAAAGATTATGATGATTAAATTATATATGTAGATCCCTTTTGTTCACAGGAAGTATTCTGAAGTCAAAATCCCCAAGTACAACATACCTACAAATGGCCCCATGCCCAGGCATAATGTCACACTTTCCATCATTTAAGCAGAAGTCAGGCTGCAGGTCACAGAGACTCTGACAGGGCAGTTCATCCACACTCAGGTACCCAGGGTAGCATCTGCACTTTGCTTCTCCACTCCAAGGATTGACCAGACACTCAGAATATTCATTGCAGGCCTGAAACTTGCAAGGGTTGGCATCATCACCTAAAATATCAAATGAACCAGAGAAAGATGCAAGCAAAGGAAATATACAGGAATTGGGACACATGAAGACCCTCATTAAAGCACCCCTGTACCCCCTCAAAGTAACATGAGACAACTCCCTTCTTGACCCATTACCGTATCTCACCACCACAATACCACAAATACCTTCTGATTCATCTAAGATAGATAAGCTCTCATGAAAGTTCTCTTGAAGACCCTGAGCCAAATCATAAAATCCTATGGCCTTAGCAAGGCTCTACATATTTTATGTAGGGAGCATATAAAAGCTTGAAAAGCCACATTGTATTTTACACAGTTTTCATATATCATTCAGTTCTACCAAACTTATCCTGCCTCAGTCCACCTCTACTCTGTACACATGGCTGCAAGCCCTACTGCACACTGAGACCATGCATGGTGAAAGAAAGACCAGACAGCTGGTAGGAGCCTCAAGGATGGGTATAGATCCAAACAAGGAGCCTAGGATTGAGGTCAGTGGAAGCAATATTTTTTAAAAAATCATCTCCGTACCTCCACAGGTCATTCCCAACAATATTTTGGCTTCAGCAACCTGAATTTTCATTGATAGTGTGAATAAAAATGACAAATAATTAATTAGAAAAATAACCAGTCAAAAATGATATAAGGAATTGACCATAGATAGGCCTTCCATCCTTCCGTGATTCCACCACATGTTCTTCACTGGTGAATGACAAATGGGCAAATAAATGGTGACATCCATACCCCAAATAGGAAATAAGTGGAAATGGTCCACAAATTCATCTATATGAAAAAAATATATAAAACTTAGCTACAAAATCTAAGGTGAGAAAAAAGATAACATAATCTCTTGACTTACAGAGAAAATAGTATTTTTAAAGTAATGATTTTCTTCCTGCTCTAGAAATTGAAAACAATTTTACTTCTGGAGTTTAAAGGATCTTTTTTTTCCTTATTCTCTTTTTTTATTTAATAAATGTAAATTTACAAAGTGCAACTTTTGCATTGTTGTGGCTTTTTCCCCCATAACCTCTCTCCTACCTGCAGCCATCCCATCTCCCACTCCCTCTCCCATCCCACTCTTCATCAAGATTGATTTTCAATTATCTTTATATACAGAAGATCAACTTAGCAAATACTAAGCAAAGATTTCAACAGACTGCACCCACACAACCGCACAAGATATAGAGTACCATTCGACTAGTAGTTTTATCATTAATTTTCAAAGTACAACACATTAAGGACAGAGATCCTACATGGGGAGCAGATGCACAGTGATTCCCGTTGTTGATTTAACAACTGACACTCTTATTTATGATGTCAGTAATCACCCAAGGCTCTTGCCATGAGCTGTCAAGGCTATGGAAGCCTCTTGAGTTCACCAACTCTGAACTTATTTAGTCACGGCCATATCACAGTGGAGGTTCCTTCCTCTCACTTGTTAAAGTGATAAGTTTAAGTACTTAATTGATCAAAAAGATAGGTTAAGTGTCGAAGAGATTTCACAAATAAGACCAGTGTCTGCAAATAATGAATGATAGAATTAAAAGGGAGAGAATGATCCTGCGGAGGAAACAGGATACACAGCAGACTCATAGAATGGCAAATGCCCCAAACAGCACTCCGGCCTCAGAATCAACCCTTGAGGCATTTGGATCTGGCTAAAAGGCCCATGAGAGTCTCACAGGCATGGAAAGCCAAGACACTGTGGCAAAAACGACCTGAATGAAAGATCTCGGCGAACAAGACCCCAGAAGAAAGAATGGGCCATCAAAGAAGGGGGCACCTTTCTTTAAAGGATCTCTGAAGTCAATCTTCCTTGGCCCTGTGTGGAAAGAGGGGAATGTATTAGACTAAATGGTGTTTCCTAAAAGTCCTTATTTAGGGGCCAGTGATGTGGCACAGCAGGTTAAGCTGCTGCCTGCAATGACACCAGCATCCCATACTGGAAAGCCAGTTCAAATCCCTGCTGCTCAACTTCCAATATTACTTCTTGTTAATGCACCTGGGAAAGAAACTAATGATGGCTCAAGTATTTGGAGCCCTGGCACCCATGTGAGAGACACAGATGGAGTTCCTGGCTTCTGGCATTGGCCTGGCACAGCCCTGACCATTGTGGCCATTTGGAGAGTGAACCAGTGGAAAGAAGATTTCTTTCTTTCTCTCTCTCACTCTGTATTTCAAATAAATCAATAAATCTATAAAAAATAAAAAATAAAATTCCATGTCTATTCAGAATGTGACTTTATATAGGAAAAGATCCTTTGCTAACATAATCAAGTTAAGAAGAGATCATGCCACGTCATGGCACAGCATGTTAAACTGACACCTACAATGCTAGCATCCCACATGAGCACCCGTTAGAGTCTCAGCTGCTACACTTCCAATCCAGATCCCTGCTAATAAACCTGAGCAAGCAGAAAAAGATGGCCCAAGTACTTGGGCCCCTACCACGCACATGGGAGACACAACTGGAGTTCCAGATTCCTGGCTTCTT